ATACCTCTTGTAATAACTTCAGTTGTATACTTATTTTACTTAAGCGACTTAAGTTACACGAGCTCCACACTCACGGAAAGAGATCACTTACTTGTGGAGTTCATGTGTTCTAAATCCTCTCGAAGTTTCTAAGAAGTTTGTTTTATATTATGGAAAACATGAACATAAATATTACAATAAAAAAATCAAAATCAAAGAATTGATAAATAAATGGAAACATTATTCTATTAAAGACAACAAGATAATTTTCTTAGCGTTAACAAAAAGTTAATGAATAATGACGAATAGCGACGTCGGAGACGACGTCAGACGAGAATCCGAGCGATTTCTGTACACGAGGCGCTGTGAAAAAGCCGTTAAAACCTCAAACAATAATGCCTCTCATGTTTAATTCACAACGCGCCGCATTAATGGGGCAAGGTCACCGGAATTCATTTCCTCTAACAACTTACACTAAAACTTCAATAATTTACTTGTATTTTAAACAATAAAATGTATATTAAGTTTATTTAATTATCTAAAATTAAAATTCATATGTTAAATAAGATTGTATGACGGAGTTAGTCTCGCTACTCGTTGATAGATGGCGCTAGTAGTATCAAAAAGCTTGACTAGCTACACGTGGTAGCGTTTTAATAAAAGTTTGTTTCGTGTTTATTTCAGACGCCGCTAGTCTGTGGCGCTGCCGCTGTCGATTTTATTAATGGTAATGAGACCATTATACGTAATTGTGATGCAATCTCCGGTCTTCAAGCGCATAACTTTAATACAAATATGTTTATAGTACGACATGCGTAAACAATGTTTAATTCATTCAATATTTACGTGTAATATATTCTGTGAGAGAATATTTTGTTTGGTCGTTTTATAAATCCGATTGGACGTTTTAAATTCATTGATTGGGTTTAATGTATGAATGAGTTTGTTTTTAATATTTATTTATATCTTGACTCTTACTATAAGACCATATTCTTATGTGTTCATGTACATATTATTATTTGTAATTAATAAATTAAAGGATTTTTTTTTAAATTAACCATAAACATCGGAACAATTTTACATTCACTATAAAACCTTTGAAAACTTTAACAAAAAAACATTCAAACAGGAGTCCAATAAGTTTCGCGATATCAAATTACAAAAGCGAAAACAAACAGCCAGAGTTCAAATACCGCAGCAAATTATCGCTCCGTTCGGGTCCTTAATTAATATTTTCCATTATCCGATTGCGAAATGTAAACGGGAATCACAACCCTTTTCTAACCCGCACTACATATATATATATACGGTAGTTCGCATGTCTCCTCCATTACAAACGTTATCAAGTTGTCTTCGTGGTAAATACCTACATTCCGAGTGCTACGTTTGTGTGCGTGCCTCCCCCCCTGTGCGTGCAAGGGGGGATCCTCCGTCCTCCTCACACCAGCTTTCTCCCTCGCACACTTACATAGATATATTTGTCGCTTTGAGACCATTATTGTATACTTAGAGACGTTTTGTGAATGTCCTCGTTCTGTTATTGGGCTTTCATAACAAATTGTGTCTGTTGTTTCTACATGTAAACACAATAGTTATGTGAAAACCTAAAAATAACATCTCGAATTTTTACAACAATAGTAGGCAGTATGAAGATTGTCTATGACCACCATATTTTTTGAATTTCGAAAACGCTTAACAAATGTGTATAACAATCTTTTTGTAATTCAAAAATCATTGCTTTTGAATTTCGAATGTATTCTAATTCGTTTTTTAAAAGAAAAGCTTAACGGATCTCGATGAAATTTGGCACAGATGATAAAACAGACTAACAATTTTTTTTGCGCAGACAGAGTCGTTAGTTAGTTTTGAATAATTTCAATTAAAATTACATATCAAATTAAGGAATGGGTATAAAAATAAAACACTTGTGAGAGTTTTATTTAATGAATATTTATTTTTCACGCCACCATCGATAAATTGTTGTTTAATTGACTTGTAAAAGGTGTAAGTTACGTCGCCGCTACGTGGCGTGTCGGATGCAAATCAGAAAGAATGAACAACCTTGACGTGTAACATTGTAACGTGGATACTTTTTAAACACTTTCGATGTGTTTGTTTTGGTTTATTTAAACGTATACCGTTTGTCTATGTTTTTTTATTTAAAATTACAGGTTTATTACCTTTACAATATTGTACCTTTTTTTTAAATAGAATAAGTTAAGTGTACGGGAATTGATCTCTTCCGGAAGTAGCATAAGGAGGAAGAAGAAGTAGATGATGATGATGATGAATAAGTTAATCGTATTGTCTTTGTTTACTCAATTGTTAATCATAAAACTCACTTTTTTTTTTAATTTTTTTCATCATTTACAGGATTTGGTTGATTTTTGAACCCAAGTTTAGTCGAAATAAAGACATGCAATATATTATTAGGTGCTAACAGATGTACAAAGCGAAGACAGTATTACAGTGATCTGTGAACATCCAAAACACTTAAGGCACTGCAACGCTTCTCTCAAATCACTATGGAAGTGGTTGTTTGACCAACATTGGATGAACACTGATATAATTAACACGTATGACCAATATTGGGTAGACCAACACTAGATGTAATGACCAACATTGGACAGATAAACGGTATGACCAGCTCGTACTGGGGACATGCTCGCTGTGACCAATACAGCGTGGCAGTGGCGGAGTGCGCTGGGCGGTGGGCGTTCCGCGCAGGCGCCGCGTTGCCAAGGCGACGGCACGTAGGCGGCGCTCTGTGTGCCAGTACTGCGTCTGTGTGCGTGGGGTTGAATAAACTGCATGGTTGTACGGTGCTCGGTCCCAGGTTCGATTTTCAGTTTAAGTTTTTGAATGGGACAAAGACATTTTATAGAAGTATTAGCTTTCACCTGCGACTCCGTCCGCAAATTAAAATAAAAAAACAAAAGTAAGTATGTGTTCTTCCAAACTATCTGTACTAAATTCATCGAGATCCGTTCAGTATTTTACGCTACAAACCCTAACAAACGTCCATTCATCTATCTAAACTTTCGCATTTATAATATTAGTAAGAAGTAAGATTACATTTATTTTCTATGTCACTAAAATCTAGTAAAAACGCTTTTATTATTTTTCGTATATCTCATTAAATATGAACTCATATATTATTTGTAACAATATTTTAAATACAAAATTAAAACTCAAATTAAATTAAGAATCAAATTCAAATCAAAGTTAATTTTCTCTATAAAACAATGTATAATTTGTAACAAGACATTGTTTAAAAATCTACTAAACGATTACAATGACGTCACAATCCGCACACAGGCACATGCAACACACACACGCGTATTCTGCATACACGTAGACACACATACGTAACGCACACAGTTGTAGTCCCACCGCCCAGCGGACCTCTGTGTCACGCACTCTCCTACTCAATTCCTATGAGACCTGAAAAAAAATTTACAAGACGTCTTTCCTTTTGAAAGAAAACCAAGTCTTGTAAAACCTTAGGAACTGCCCTTTGTATTTGCATCTCTGTATCAAAGTTACGCGACTGGCGTTTGTGTTTTTATTGAGGATTTTTTCTTATTTTCAGATGAACTTACATAAGTTTATGACATCACATTTTTAAACTTTTATTGTAAGAATTTAAAACTTTTAGTAAAACTTTTGTAATATTAAATCTTTACTTAGTATCTGTTTGATACATATTTAATGACAAATTTTAATGACTAAATAGACTAGAATCAGATCAGAGGCGACTAACAAAACATCCGACTTGATCCAAAGTTTATAACTCACGTGAACTAAGCCGCGCTATTTCAGATTCACGTGACCTAATGACGCTAAAAGGCCAAAAAAAAAATGCAGGAATCGATTGAGGAGCCGAATAAGAGGCACGAAGGTCACGGCCCCATCGATCCGGCGTAGAAAGTGAGACTGGTGCCACTAACACCGTCCCGTTGGCTATGCAGCCTGAATTAATCGTGCATACATTTGAATACATTTGAAGCGCGTTGCGGCCCGGTGTCGTCGCCCCTTAAGTTTTAGCGATTTTGTTTGCGCTCGCCGCAAGGTCCTACTGACTTTCTTTTACTATCTAACCATCTTGTATAACTCATATCCCAGCTTTAGTTCAGTTTGACAGCTTGCTTGTAGTCTAGCTGTGCTCGCAACTTCATCCACGTGAATTTAAGAAATGTAGCCTATGTAAACTAAGTAATAATCTGAGTACAGGAATAACGTAGCTTTTTAATGATGTAGGAATTTTTAAAATGGGCTCAGTAGTTTTTTTTTATTATTTCAATACATACAAAAATACATTTTTTTTATAAAAAAAGCGGGCAAACGAGCAACGGTTCGCTTGATGCTAAGTTATCCGACGTCCATGAACATCCGCAATGCCAAGGGTACTGCAGATGCGCTGCCGGCCTTCAAGGGAGGAGTACGCTCTTTTCTTGAAGGCCCCTAAGTCGTAACTGTTTGGAAATACCGCTGTGGACTGAGTGTTCCACAACAAATTCTTTCATCTTTATAATGTTGTATATGATATAATATGATGTTAAGGATGTCAAATCGTTCTTTAATTCCAGAATCCTATTTAGTAGGTATTCCTCTATCCTCGTGCTTTTATATCTACTTATACCAAATACTATATACAAAAGCGAACGCTTCTAGCTGTAAGGGTTTTTGAATCTTAGAGCAGCAGCAGTGTAGTCTTTTGTTTTTTATTTCCATCGGAAATGTTCTCCTTTGGGGAAATTTCGAGATAGAATCATAATTCTGCAGCTAATCAAGTGTTGTGTGCGGAGTTGTAAACATTTTTTATGATGTAGGCTCATTTCGGATCAAGGACATTGAAGAACTACGTTATGCAAAACTATTAGTAAATTTGTATTCATGTGAACTATCGACCTTTTTTCTTGACCTCTTTTGAAATAAGCTGAAAGCAATTGCGTGTACACTTGAAAGAAAAAAAAATTTTGGGCTTCGCTTTTTTGCATAAATTGTTATGTAAGTCTTCGTGGCTTTATTCTCTTTATGTTAAAAGAAAATACAGTAATATTTTACACGCTTTAAACAATTACTGTAATAAAAAGATATCGTTTTTCTTCTGTTTACAGGAAAATTCGCTGCCCAAGGATGGATCATCTCCTGAAATTAAAAAATAAACAGTTTTAATTGACAAAATTACTGCATTCCGTTGTACTTACGGTAGCTTAAACCGACAATCAAAAATCCCAAAAAGTGTGGTAAGTACAAATAATAATAACTAACCAATAGAAGAATATGGTGTTTCTGTTACCGGTTACGATAGAATTGAACCTAGAATCAAAGCACGCAGCAACTCAACCCTCGGGGGCGAGGTGGTGCGTCGCATACATAACTAACGTTGGAAAGTCGCAACTCAAATGCTCTCTATGCGTCGCCACACCCGACAACCAGATGTCGCCTACGTATTACTGCGTGTATACCATGTTGCTATGCAGACCTCATGTTACAATGGTTCGAAGTTTAAAATTCATGTATAAAAATCATGCAATAGTAAATTCGGAATAGCCCTGTTAAACTCGACCGAGGAAGAAATACCATCAATAATAGATCTTTGAAAAGTTATACAGATTTTTCAGATTGTCCCATATTGCCGCACTCATTTAAAACAGGCGCATAACAGTTGTTCGATTGTCGATTGTTTCGCAGCCCATTCAACAGTTTAGTTGCACAACTAAAAATCGAATAGTGTGCGTACCTCCATATAAACTCATAGGAATCAAAGTGAGATAAAACAGTTGGGCGATAGCTTAGTTTTAGGGTTGCACCCGCTCTTAGAATCATTTAACGACTACTTAGGCAGTGGCTCATCAGTCCTCAATGAAAATAATTTATCAATAAATTAGATTTATATTTAAGTAGCTTTCACCCGCGACTCCGTCCGCGTGGAATTAAAATAAAAACAATTTAGTAGCCTATGTGTTCTTCCAGGCTATAATCTACATCTATGCTAAACTTCATCGCGATCCGTTCAGCCGTTTAGGCTACAAACTCTAACAAACATCCATCCATCTAAACTTTCGTATTTAAAATATTAGTTAGATTTCCAAGTGATTTACATACTTGTGTCTCCATCTCTTTCTTGCATCAACAAATAGATTGTCCATTTTACCGTCAGAAGAGATAGAAGATGGTTCTGATTAACAATGTCTTTGTACACAACATCCACCTTCTCGTATGACAGTCAGTGTGTCCCGGGAGCATCGACCTTGCCATTGCAATGCATGACACGCGCTATACTTTTGTCGCAACCAGAATAAGGTCACGTGTCACGGGGACTCTGGGAGACGGTTAGCTAACGTATTGTTTATTTAGGAAGAAAGTATAGTATGGGATAAGTACAGAGAATATGTTATGATCAAATAGTAGATAGATTCATGGTCGTCACCACTTGGGGGTGAGTCAAAGGGCACGAATGCTTCAATGAAAAGCTGCACAGGTTTGTAAGATTATAGAAACTTTAGTATATTGAATTAATTTTTAACTTTATTCTACTATTTCACCTGTCTAGTGGATGAGGGATCAGCTTAATAATAAATTTTAATACAAGTGTCAGCACATAACAAAAGTTAAGGAGGAAAATATAATTAAAGTTAAAAAAATAAAACCAATACTAGAAGCTTTTATCAATACAGAAGGTAATTCTAAAAAAATTAAAAAAAAAACTTTTTCGTAGATAAGGCAACGAAATAAAAAAAAACATAAGAATTTAATCTTAATGTAACTAGATTAAATTTATTTATAAGTTCTATTCCAAGTACTAATATCTAAAGTGGGAAAACCTGTACTTAACGTATCAGTTATTTCCGCCCGTATGTTATTGCTAACCTGATATATTTTAAAAAGTGGAAATTTTTTAATTAGATACGTGGATAATGTTTTAAATTTCTACTCCTTGAAGTAAACTGGTCGTGAGATAATAATTTTTGTGCGGAATTTTCCACGCAAACAACACAATTGTAACAGCAATTAATGTCAATATAATGATTATGTTCAATTAATTGTCTTTTTCATATCAATGAATATGCAAATATTTCTTTTTCTATGTTATATATACATACATGAAGAAAAATTAATTTACCTAGAGTATGTAGAAAGTTTGAAGAGAAAACTTAATAAATGTTGCAAAATATTTTTAGATGTAAACCGCAACTTTCGGTTCAAATCTCCAGTTAAAAAAAAATATTCATAAATCTAATAATCTCTCATAAATTATACCGAAACGCCGTAAGCGTAGGTTTTTAGTAATTAGTGTATGAAAAGATTTTTCCTGCTGTTTTCGATGCCCACGATACAGGCATTGCCTAGTGTGCGCACTACCAGATTAATCGTATATTAACCACAATTTGTATTTATCTTTTAATTGGTATAACTGTAATTGTAATTGTTAATCTCTTATTTTTCAATAAAATTATTTCTATTTCGAAAACTATTATTGTTAGTTGGATGAAACGTCGACAAGTACCTTAGCAACAATCCCAATTTATCGGAATACAAGTCAATTCAATTCTAAAAACTAGGTCAATCGAAATAGTGAATATCAAAAAAATTTCAGCGTACCATTTCACGGTCACGCAAAAATCCGCTTTCACCGAACATCTGTTGTTGCCGAGACAAACGGGTGGGATGCGAGTCAGTTTGAGAGCGTATCTTATGCATTTTACATGAGCTATGAGGCCCCTTACCTTAGCCTTACACCCACAGGGTGGGTCACACACACTAATTAGATGTTTGTAAACATATGCTGTTGTGTGCGTATTGCTGGGACAGTAATGTAGTCTTGAAGTGCGATGTCAAGGGCTCCCGTTTTGCATTTGTTTAAAGCCTCGACCTCTAGTATGGGTTCAAGTGATGTTTTTAATTGAACTGGAAGGAGACAAATTAATTTTCACTTTAAACATAACGGGTTTGTTTATCAACATTAAAAAATACGATTTATAAAACAAAATATCATTAGATATTTTATTAGTAGAGTTTATAATTGTAGTATGTTTCCTATTTTTTAATCAGAGTTTATTTAGGCAAAGATATTGTATACTCTAACTATGAGCACTGTGTCATGACGTTTTTTTAATACTTTCGTGTAACTTAAAGCACAAATTACGGAACTTTATTACCCTGCTAGCGTGGATATTTGTCTACCAGGGCGCCAGTCTGCACGAGGCAAGGGTGAGGGGGCTGGGGGGACTTCTGTTCGAGAACATTCACATAATATTAGTTTTACTAAATTGAGGTTCTAATGTCTGTGAATAGTTCATACGATATGAAAGCATTTTCTCTGTTTATATGAACTTGAAATACAAATACATAAAAGCAATTGGAAAATCTATTAGGTTTTGGATACGCGGTATTCAGAGAAGTAATAGTTTATTTGACTGTAATTAATTCTAGTACTTCAAGAACAAAGGCAAGTGAAATTGATAATCAATGAAATGGTGTTATAAAACAAATTACGCGATAGTAAAATTTCATTTTTTATTAACTATGTCGTCTAAAATAGACAAACAGAACCATTCCAGCTTTCACCCGCAACTCCGTCCGCATAGAATTAAGAAAAACCAGAAGTAAGTAGTCTATGTCTTCTTCCAGACTATGTACATCTATACCAAATTACATCAAGATCCGCTCCGTAGTTCAAGCTACAAACGCTAACATACATCCATCCTAAACATACGCATTTCTAATATTAATCAGAAAATATAACTTGAATACTAGCTGTTTCCATGCGATTACATCCGCATGAAATTACAAAACTTTATTGTATTATTTACATTTGTCAAATTCTCAATTGCAAATGTCCAAACCGTTACCATAATAACCTTGCTTCCTTAATGTTGGCAGAATGTATTTTATGATCCCTTTCCCACAGTAAAGTTTTTTTTTTTTAATTTATTTATCCCCAAGTTACGTAAGTGCAGTGTTTTTTATTAAAGAAAAAAATATTCATAATATGTTGTGATTTCTGACATCCTGCGCCACGAAGTGTGTGTTTATGCGTTATTGTATTAGTATAGACATAGATAAAATTCTTGTAGCGATGACCTATACATATAAAATACAGTAGGTAGATGCAGTTGTTTACAAGCCTGTCTCGCCGTCGCTAGACACGAATGAGGCCAACCTCTTCAGTTTGTTAGCGTCAGCGACTTCAAGAGCTCTACCAGCTATAAAAATATATGTCTTGTTGTTTCTATGAGAAAATAATCAATGAGGAATGTAAGAAAATGAGCATCTAATTTGAACATGTCTGTCAACGCTTGCTGGTATAAATTTGTACCAATTAATTACGTAATTGTTAGTACGTATTGCCATGATTCCAATCATCGCTTACTACAGAACTGAGCTTTTAAAAGCTACAATTAAGCTTGTTACACTGATTTCTGGTTGGGAAATAGCAAAGAGAACAGGAGAGCTATCTTACTAATATTATGAATGCGAAAGTTTAGATGGATGGATGGATGTTTGTTAGAGTTTGTAGCTTAAACCGCTAGACGAATCTCGATGAACTTTGTCATAGATGTGGAGGATAGTCTGGAAGAACACGTAAGCTACTTACTTTCCTTTTTTTAATTAGACGAAGACTGAGTCGCGTACGAAAACATATAAATGTAACGATGTTGATCCTTAACAATTTTAGATATCTAATAGCAGAAACAGAAATTCAAGTTACTACCAATAAAGTACCACCGTCCGAAGCGATTGAGACGACGCTAGTCTTTGTCCAACCATCGATATAGCCAGGGTAAGGAATACTTCGCGGTTGGCACGCGATGTCTGCACAATGCAGCGATACTGACGTTTCAATGGCCGGCCATTCTGGAAATTTGTTGGCCATCGTTGGCCAACAAGCGCGCCGTTTTGTCAGCCCTGTCCGTTACTCTACTGTTTAATCAGGGCCCCCATTCAAATGTACCGCCTTTGACGAGTAATTGCTGATCGATTGAAATGTTACTTTTTAGCAATTATTTCTGTTTTTTTGTTTTATTGTTTGTATGAGTATTGTATGGAAAAGTGTTTCATGTTACAAATTGGAAAACATCGAGCTCGATTGAATTGTATTGATAAATTAATGAAGCATTAAAGTTTTTAGTATTGTTGTAACCAAAATATATTGATTTTAATTTTAAAAAACATACACCAGTTTGTTATATTAAAAAATGTAACCTTCTGATGAAATTTCAGTTCCATCTTTGTTTTATTTTTGGTTGTATCTTACAAAGTAAACATGATTGTTTATTCTGTCCACCTCAAATGTACGCGCTACGGCGAGGTCAGCGGACCGAACGTAACACATTCGTACAATACGCCGTATTCGGACAACTTATAAAAATACACCGAAAATATTTTCTCCCGCTGAAAATACATATCCAAAATACACAAACCGTAAGCTCTTCAGTCAACAATCCTCGAGCGAAAACAGAAGCGGAGCCAGCAATTAAAGTCGAAAATATTATTGAGAGCTCCGTCGACGAACAATAACGAAGCTAACCATTAAAATAAGAGCGGAATAATAAATGAGGCCGGGCAGAGATGAGAAAAAAAAGAGAAATACGCGACGTCGCGGCGGATGCATAGAAATATACCGTGTACCCGGACCAATCAAAATTCTTCGTCAATTAAGTGAACGGAGATCGTAGAAAAAGGAAAATTGAAGGAAAAACTGAGGGTGGCTTCAGACGATAGGGATGGGAACTCCCTGCTAGAAATATCGATACAAACAAACATAACATAGAAAACGTTGCATAATAATTACAACTCTAATTATTTTAAAGCTCTTTAATATACTGATACCGGAAATAATATAGCAAGTAAAATTAACTCTTGTAATTAAATAATGTGTCCATAGTGAGGACTTTGTTAACTTTTTAAATTTGGTTTGAATTACAAATTTGTACTACGAACGTAAATAATATTATTATATCGACAAGCTGTTACATCCCTAGAGCGTTTCGAGCACAGCCTCGATATGAAAGCTATGGAAATAAAGTTTGTTCGTCCCGCATTGTAGCGCACTCGTCGTAAATGGATTTTATCACTATATAAATATTCCCCCGTCCTGTCGTGACGCCCTGTTACGTCACGTCACCACGTACATTTACATTTTACGTTACACGAATCTCGCGTTTATCTATCAATGTTAGATCCAATAATGGTAGGTCAATGACCAGATTAAAACACTGTTTAAATTGATTAGAGTAACTTTGACTGGTAACTTTGCCCGCGCAAAAACAAAAAAATATCTAAAAAGTAGCCTTTGTGTTCTTCGAGACTATGTGCTATATCTTTGCCAAATTCGTTTGGCTGTTAAAAAACATCCATCTATCTAAAATTCGCATTATATTTTAAACTGCGTCTATTTTACTAAAGATTTTAGAAGTCCATCGCATTTTTTATGGTTCAGATTTATGAAGATAAATATAAAAACAAAGGGCGATCGTTGTAGACGTTGACGATGTTTCACAGTCCACTTCAATTGATATTATTCCCAATTGATTTGTATTGTCAGCTATAGAAGTACTGCGGGAAACGTTTTATCATTCGGGACTCGTCCAGTCCGGCCGGGGCTGGGCAGCGTGTGAAATTATGCGCAAAATGTCCCACGCCTCATTTACCCTAAACGCTGCATCTTTGATACCCCATTGACCCTTTGGTATCGCGTATTAATAATAAATTGAGATGTCCCTTCCTTGGGGCGAAGAACGATTTCGCGATGAGGACTGTAGATTTACGTTTCCAAAAATTTCTTTCCACCCAGATGCAATATTTATTCATTTTGAGTAGGGTTACATGAATTAGACTTGTAAGTGAGTTTTGAAAGCTGTACCTACTCTTAATAAACTTCTATTATAAACATGAAACTTGCAAATACAGCATATCACTGTATTAACAAGGGGGAGGGAATTATTAAGTAACAGTAAAGTACTACGAGTACAGACATGTGAGCTCTTGCGGCAGTCATAAAAACCCGCCGGCACCTGACTACGACCTGACCACCTTGCGTATTTAGGTGCACCAGTGCAGTCCTGACAGACGCGTACTAAAACTGAATATCGATTACTTTCGCTACTATAATGTAATCCCCCGCCCACTTTTCCATTTTTCACCTCCTCACAACAGTATAGTGATCTCTTTCTTTCGCCTACTCCTCGCCAACCCTGAAGCTTCCCCTCTCGCTCTGTGCGCCCCGTATGTAAATTACCGTCTCGGAACAGCAGTGTGCTCGCCCTTGTCGCTACGCACACAGCGCTGTGACGTTTGAGGTTTACTGCCCTGACAGCTTTTGTCCTATTTTAAAACATATCAGAGACGCGTCCTTAAACACACTCTTCTATACGTAGTTGTTAAACAGTAGTGGAAGCGTTCAGTGCGGCGTAGACATGCGAATTCTAAGTTTAACTGATGCCAAAGATAATAGAGCGAACGATTTTTCCTTTAGCACAATCCTTGCGTGTGCAATTTTGCGAACTATTGTGGTGCAGTTTGAGTTGATTTTGGTTTGCCCGCGCCTGTGTCTTCCAGGTCGTGACGTCACTCGGGTACGTCGAAAATGACACTTTTATGAGCAATAATTTACATTATTCCGGTGTTAAAGCTCGCGTGCCCGCCGATTGATTTTATGTCGGTCGCTTCTGCCATTTTCGTCGGGAATCGAATCACCGCTACAGTACACGGCGGGGTTATTTCGTAATGCCGGTTTTGCGTGCGCTGGCTTTTTTCCCTTGTTTCAGATATAGCTCGTTATTTACTTTGTCGGCGCAACAGCCACGGCGCCCATTCACAGCGTCTAGCTAGAGTAATATGTGCCGCATGAAAGTGAATTATTTTCGTAGTAAACTTGTTTCGGAACGTTTAGGGTGTTACGGCTG